TTTCTTCCCCCCCCCCCCCCCTCCTCCTCCTCCTCCTCCTCCTCCTCCTCCTCCTCCTCCTCATCATCATCATCATCATAACCGTAGTCGTCGTCATCATTATCATCCTTGATGATCTTGTTCACCCTTGCCCTCATCATCGAGATTCTCCTCATCCTCCCTCTCCCCCGTCTGACCTTCAACCAGATGCTGCTCACATCCTGCTCGACAAGGGGCTCAAGGACTCTGTGGTCCTCGCCAGCCATGCTCGATGGGGACAAGCTGCTGGCGATGCAGCCCGGCGGTCCTGCGAGTCTGTGCTGAACCTTCACTATGCTGCGGTCACTGCAGGAGAGTTTCTGACCAGGGGAGCAGTACAAGTGGTGGGCAGCCTCGGCAGGCTGATGGTGCTGGACGCTGCTACCAAGGCCGTGCTAACCGAGGACCTGAAGAGCGGGGATGTTAGGATCGAGGGGGCGCTGCTTCTCAACGAACTCAAGGGCTTCGGAGGCTCCTCCTCCGTCTGGAACTGCTACGTGTGTGTGGCTCGGCAGCAGACGATCGCCCTGTACACGCCCATCGTCGAGCAGGGAGTGGAGAAGCTGGCAGATGCTGGGATCAAGCTGAGCTGCCTGGAGGAGGGAGGCCACAAGATCGTGGTTGAGATCGAGAGGGGGAGCGGAGCTGCACGAGGAGGAGAGGTCGAGGTGGGTGACGTCATCATCGGGGTGGACGGCATGTCCGTGCAGCACATGACGGTGGCGGACGTGGAAGCGCTCATGATCGGAGCAGCTGGCAGCTTCGTCCGACTTCAGATCTGCAAGGGGAAGCAGATGCAGGTGCTGGCTGACCGCGTGGACGAGCTGGAGGAGCAGCAGCTGGACGAAGACGTCATGAGCAAGAAGGAGGAGGAGGTGGACAAGCCAGCGGTGAAGGAGGTGAAGGTGGAGCGGCTGCATGGGAGGATGGCGGACGGGTTCGAGCAGGCAGTGCTGGAGGAGGCAGGGGACAGCAGCTCAACCGCACCAGTGGAGGGAGGACCTTCGATGAGCATCAACGCGTCGGAGACGTCGGCAGCGCAGGGGCGCAAGAAGGAAGATCTCAACAAGATGTCCTTCATGATCTGCAACACGAGGAGCGGGCCCGCGAAGCTGCAGAGAGCGATCTTGATCCAAGATGTCAGCAAAGTCAGCCTGCTGGAGCCGCAGGAGGTGAACACCGAATGGCCCCCCCTCCCCTTCCGTCCCCCTCCCCTTCCGAGCTCCTGAACATTCGTTGCTCTCCTCCTTACATCCCCGCCTCCTTTGCTTGTTGCCCCCTTCCTCTTCCTCTTCCTATTTCTTTCTCACCTCCTCCTCTGACTTCTCCCTCCTGCAGTATGGCAGAGAGCACTGCTTCAAGCTCCAGATTCACTCCATGAAGGGAGTCTTCGCCTTTCAGGCTGCCGACGCTTCTCTTGCTCAGGCCTGGGTCCAGCAGATCCTGAGCATGAAGGAGGAGTACGACGAGCTGCAGAAGAAGGCCTACTTCGGTAAGGAGCCAGCTCAAGCGCAGCAGCCCTCTAGCTGAACCCGATGACTCCGAGGGCGATGTGCGTGGGAGGTCGACGGGTTGCGTTCTCACCTCAGTCCGAAAGAAGTTTGTTGTCATTACTCAAGCACCACTATCCTATCTTCTCCCTCCTCCCCTTCCTCCTCCTGCTCCCTTGCACGCGCTGTCCTCCTCCGAGACTTTTGCGTACCTGGTACCCCGTCCTCCCTCCTTCCCTCGGAACCCCCTGCAGCCTCCACTGCTCCCCCGTCCTGCGCTGCTGCATCTTCCTCGGTCTCCATGACTTCTGCGTGAGCGGCGCGTGAGGAAAGATGCGCTGCGGCGGGAGAGGAGGGGATGAACTCGAGTAAGACGAGCTCGAACATGGCGTACGCTCCGAGCTCCTCGATGTCGATCCCTGCCAGCGGAAGCAGAATGAGGAGGAGGGGAGATGGGAGCACTGAGGCTGACCTGGAGGGAGCGGGAAGAAGTTGGTCCAGAGCAGCAGAGCAAGGTCCTGGGGAGGAGGAAGATGAGCAAAGAGCACAGATGAAAGTATTCTTCACCTCTAGATTGCGGCAACGATAAATGCTCGCAGGATACTGGGAGGTGCCGATCGTCCGGGTGTGAGTGTCGAGAACGCTGTAGAGGTCCAGGGAAGGAGCGACAAGCATCAAGACAGTCTCTGGCGGCTTCGTCATGCACAGAAACTTTATCCCGTGATTCCTGCTCCCCCCCGAGCCAGGAGGACGCGCTTCCGAGGACGAGGCTTCCTGGATCAGATGCATGATGGAAGAAGGATCACTCAGCGATCCCCAGAACGTCTCCTTGATCCTCAGCGCTCCCTTGTCGCTCCAAGCATGCCCGCACAACTCGATCGCTTCCTCCACGCTCATGTGCTCCATCCCCAAGTCCCGCAGCAGGGCGCTGGAGGGCAAGTCAGTGAGGCCCGTGAAGCTCTTGAGGGACTACCTGACGTCCCGGTCCTCGAAGAGAGACATCCCTTCGTCCACCACCCTCATCACATCTTCACCCGAGACCTCCGTCCTCGCAATATCGGAGCCCAGCCCAAGGACTTCGTGGAGAGCTATGGTTGCGTAGCAGCAGAGGAACGAACATGCTGACCGTCCGTTGGGGAAGGAGAATTGACTACGTTTCTCAGCATGCTGCTCGCAGGAGGCTGGCATGAGAGAAAGTCACTGCAACAAGGACTGTAACATTCTTGTCTTACCGAAGAGGTGCCCTATCTCGAGTGTCCTCCATTCCTCCTCCTTGATCGAGACTGCCAGGCAGGATCTCATTCGAGCATGAAATGTTGAGAGGAGAGGACAAGCATCTGTCACGACGAACTACATCTCATCGACACTGACCTTCTCCGGACCATACAGGCCTCCCGCTTCTCATTGTGATTTCAATGTGAAATGTCCCTGTCAGAGCATGGAGGTCAGACATGCTTCATACGTGTCTGTTACAAACCAGGAGTGAGATAAAGTTGCCAAAATCCATCGCAGGACGCCCAATCGACAGTCTCTTGGCACATGTTGGCTACGTGAACCTAGGATAGCCGATGGTAAGGTTCGTACGTACAACACAACCAACTTACCTCCGTTACTGCATCCCTTCCCCCACACCTTGATGTATCAGGGTCATGCCGCAGCGGAGAGCAAGTATCGCCCTTACCATATCATCTTCACTCCGCAATCATTCGCAAGCTCTTGCGCGGAATCGTCTTCAGGATTTTCTCGGCGACGTGAGTTCCTGCATGAGTGTGAGAACGTAGGGTGGGAGGGAAAGAAAGGCAAAGAATGAGAGCATGGAACAGGTCGGGGAGAGACCATGTAAGACAAGGGAGGGAGGAGGAGAAGGGGGGAGGGAGAAGTGTGGAAACAAGAGGGAGAATGTTGAGGATGCGAACAATGGACTCAGGGAGGGGAAGAGAGCGAGGAAGTAGGAGGAGCTGCAGGGCAACGAAGAAGCACAGCCTGTGGGAGGTACCTGAGCATGTTGGAGGGGAGGATGTGCCTCAGGTTGTTCCTGATCTTCTCCTCCTTCTTCTGCATTCTCGCTACCCTCCACGTCTCCTCTTACCTCCTGGCCTGATCTTTCGATCTGTTTCCTACCTCCGGCGGATCTGGCGGGCCGGGCCCGACCGCCGCACTGCGGCAGTGCCGCACTGAGTGCGGGAATGATCGGACCGTGCAGTAGTCACGGTACCTTCATGACGGAATACGAGGCTCATAACCGACGGAATACAAGTTTGTTAGACTTGTACTAGTCCAAAGTCACGCAGATATCACATCGACCTTAGTTGTAACAAGACAGTTTTTGCTCAAGACCGAGTTTAATGCACACAAAACCAGAATTGAGGAGCACATGAGAGATAGACTGTATGCTAGGATGTGAAACCCAAGCATCCAGACATGAGAGGACCTTAGCAAGACGGCTAGGAAAGACCCCCTCTTCGTCCCATACGCTACATTGGCCGCCTGCCACGTAAGTCGTCTTGGTTTACAGGAGAGTTTTGTTAACTCGGCGCTATCTGACTGGCACGGCTGGCATACGTTCCATCACTTCACCGCCGGATCCGATCATATCGGCCCTGGGCCCGGGGGCGCTGGCAGCCTGAGCGCCCGGCGCACTGCCTGAGCGCGGCCGCCTGGCGGGGCCAAGCGTCCCTCGGGCCCTGGCCTCAGAGTCAAGTTCACGCCCGGTGGCGACTCAGACGATACTACCGTACCGTACTACGGTACTACTCAGTGGCATTACTGAGCCTGTGAGGCCTGGACTCAAACAATCATGGCAGGACTCGCCGCGAACACTGCTGAGAGGCGGCTCAGCGGCTCAGCGCCACATGGCCGTACGGCGAGACTGAGAAGACTCAAGGCAAATGTACTACGGCACCGTACTACCGTACTTCACTTTACTCAAAGTACTAGTAGTGATCCGGCCGGCCGGGCCCAACGGTGGCACGGTGACCGGTGTACTGAGTTATATGCAGGAGTATCCGGGAGTATCCGGGACAACGGATCCTCCCAGTGTTGAAAATCGTGCAACGATGCAGAGGGAAGGGAAGGGAGGGGAAGGGTGGGGAAGGGTGGGGAAGGGAAGGGAGATAGGGGAAGGTAGGCAAGCAACTGTGACAAGGTATGTAGTATGTGGAGGTCGTAAATGAAGCCAGGAATCTCATGGCCGAAAGACAAGGAAAGGAGGTGGAATGAGGGGTGATGTTTGAAAAATGAGTCGAGAAAACACTAGCCCACGATGCTGTGAGATGAATATGAAGCTGAATCTTTACCAACCAGGATTGGTGTGATGAAGATTTGAAGCTGAAGCCTGACTCGCTGGGCATCTACGTCCTCAGTCAACATGCCGAGCATGATCCTTATCATGGCCATGGGCTTCCTGCTCGTTGCGATCCTTCACGTCTACACTTCCAGGTCAAAGCAAGGGAAGGAGCTCGTGCAGCAGGAAGGAAGCAGTTCTTCCAAGGAGTCTCGTGCCTCTGCTGCTCACCATGATGCAAGTCCATCCCAACGTGCAGATGGTGGAGATGGGTCGGTCCCTACCTCGGCCCGAACGCCCTTCTCCACCAGGAAGCCGGGTCCGACTACTTCGAGAAGGACTCACACGCCACTCGGCAGCGCCTTGCAGAAGGATCGGCAAGAGCTCGACGAAGCTCGAGACGAAACAGGCTTCCTCCAGCAGCTCGTCTCGCAGCTCTTCTTGCTGCTTGCAGCTGACGGTAACAAGGAGAGTTACGGGTTCAGCGTCACAGCTTCCAAGAACCCTCAGAGTAAGGATCTGCCGAAGATCGCTCTCAATCGCTATGCAGCGCCCTCTAGCAGCGGGACAGACACCTTCTACCTCGAGTCCGTGAACGGGAGAAACGTGAACCGGCTCGCATGACTTTCCTGATGCAGCCCTGACTTTGTTGCAGATGGCAGGGATGACGGCCCAGGAAGTGAAGGACGCAGTCTCGACTAGTCGCTTCAAAGTCAAGCTCGGGCTGAGAAATCTTGAGAGGCCGGACAAGAAGGGCCCAGGGCTCAAGTGCGTCGAGAACGTCATCTACTCTTCCAGAGTCCAGCAGCTAAAGGTGTTTTTGTCGTTTCTCGCTACTCCTCTGAACGGTCTTGGTAGAGTTTGAGTCAACGGGTTATCACTTTCTTGAAGACAGAAAAAGTGAGTTCGGCCTCTGTCTTGCCTTCGCTTCAGGTACCTGCCTTTCTGCACTCCTTGATCTCCGAGATGAAGGAATAGAGCAAGAAAGTGTCGAGATCGTTTGATACGAGGATCTGCAGAAAGGGATATCGGCTGTGCTGGACATGATTGATGACTCTGACAACTTTGAGTGCCCATGCGGGTATTCCCTGACACATTTCTTTTGCTTACTTCTATTTCCTCTCCTCCACTTCCTCCTCCTCGTCTCTTTCTCATTTTTCTGTTCTTCTTGTGTTTCACCTGACCCGTCCACGTAGGAATTCTGCCGAGACTCTGGAAGATAGTGTCGCGTCGGTCATCGGGAAAGTGTTCTCGCTGGTGTTGCAGCCCTCGAACAAGCTGTCGATCAGCAGAGATCTCTCAAACTCCTTCGAGGTCTGACGGCAGCATGGGAGGAAGCCGAGTTGACCTTGCTTTGATGCAGAAGGAGAACAACTTTTCGGATGACACCATGGTTTTGCGCGAGCAGATAGTCAACATGCAGAAGCAGGTAAGTGGACATCTTGAATCATGAGCACGTGGAAGTGAAAGTATGTTTGTCCAGCATGCTCTTGTCAAGTGTCAGCTGCAGGAGGAGAACAAACGAGTTCATCAACTGCAGAATCAGGTAAGGTTTCTCATCTTTCTGCTCAACATTCCACGTGCAAGATGTTTTGACTCGGCCGCAGCTGCAGTCAGAGAAGAACGCGTGCGAGCACTGGTGTAGTCGGGTGAAGGAGTTGGAGGGGTTGTTGCTGGAGAAGGAACAGCGTCTGGCAAGTGGAGCTCATCGCAGCAACGACTATGAGACAGAGATGGCAAGTTTAAGGGAAATCTTGAGCGAAAGGCAGCAGAAACTCTATACAAAGCTCATGGCGTTCGAGGCGGACCTCGTGGAGAAGACGAAGCAGGAGGAGGCTTTTCCTGAGCGAGTGGAAGAAGTGATCAAGATGGTAGACACTGGACATCTGGATAGTCAAGCCCACAAGAGCTCGTTGTCGGAGCTGACAGAGGCGAATATCCTGCTCGAGGATCTGATCTACAGCTGCTTCGATAGTATCAGTCGGAATGAGAGGAGCAAGAGAGATGAGGTCGAACAATCTTCGCAATCAGTGATTAGCGACGTTCAAGCAAGATACAACATCCTCATGAAGCACATCAACGAAGAAAGCATCTCGAGCGCCATGGATGGACAGAGACCGAGTGAGAAAAGCTCAACCCTTGTTGTGCTTGTCAATTTTTGAATGCTTGTGACGCACAGGCCTCAAGACGACGTTTGATCAAGTGCTCATCGTCGCTAGGCATGGAGAAAGATTGGACACTGTCGACGAATCCTGGACAGGAGAAAGACCTTACGATCCGCCATTGACGAGGTCAGGCGGGATCTGATCAACTTCAGCGCCTTTCTGACATGATTGCCTCTCTAAAGCAAGGGCAAAGAAGATGCATACAAGACAGGCGCAGAAATGGCCGTGAACTTGCCCGAGATTCATGTGATTGCTGTGTCTCCGTTCCTGCGCTGTGTTGAGGTGAAAAATTCTTGACCTTCTGCCAACGTTTCAATGGGCCTGGTGCTGACCTTGAATAAAAGACTGCGATTAGCATGCTTCAAGGCCTGGAGAGCTCGGATAGATACAAGAATGCAAACCTTGAGATATTCGTTGACTACGGCCTGTCAGAATGGCTGTCAACGAGAAACATGAAGGATACGAAGCCGGAGGCAATCAAGATAAAGGTGATGGGCAAGGATGATCGGCGAAGTCATTCCAATGACTGTGCCCTCAGGAATTTAAAAATTTGGACTCGCAGTATTCAGTGCGAATACGTGACGTCGACCAGGATTCTGATGCTGATGCGAGAATGTTTCCAACATACCCTGAAACCCAAGAACAATCCTGCATGCGGTACCAGACGACATTCGAGCGGCTTCTCCATCGCTTCCACGGCAAGAATGTGCTGGCAGTCACTCATGGTACCACCATTGATATTTAAGTTTTGATGTTTCTCTGATCTGGTATCAGGCGACGCTGTTGCTCAGTTCACATCTTCTGCATTGATGATTTCGAAAGAAGATGTTTATTCGGTATGCTAATGCTGGCCCGTTCACTGCTCTAATATCGTTGAATCTCCAGGTTCCTTTTTGCAGCTATGTTTCTTCTGCATTTACAACTGGAGGATGGAACCTGATATATCAACATCCGGAAATTCTCTTCATGAGTGAGCTTGAATGAAGGTGCTGGCTGTGGCCATGATTTTCATAGTAAACAAATTCAATCTTGGTCCTTAGCACGAATCATTCTGATTCGCTTGATCCCTCTGAAATCGTTCAGCATCCTATATCTTCAAGAAAGCTCTGGATATTTCCTGCGTCCACATCGAATTTGCTGAAAAGGTTTACAATGAAAACAGCACGTTGTCGAAAGTTGTCTTCTTTGAATCTTTCTATTGGTTCGTTGTTTGAAAGCTTCGATGCAATCACTTTTGCTCGTTGAACTATAAGCTCTGGAATTCCTGCTTGAATTGCGCAATGATACCCATTACTATCCATGCTCAATCCCTGGATTGGAAACCAAATTTCAAACGTTTCAAATCAAGCAGGTGACAACAACCTGGACCAATTTATATAAGAAAACGAGTTTGGGAATCTGTGTAAGATCCTGATTGTCTCCATTCATGACTTCTTCACGCATGCACTGAGTATTCATATGTGAAGGAGAAGAAAGCTCAGTACTTGAATTACCTCCATCGTACAGTAGGATATTTGTGAGCATGACGAAAGGACTCCCTTATCCCCAAACATTTCATTGAAGTGTGTGGTGACTATCTGCCCATGAAAGTCACAACATTGTAAATCTGGCATGCAATCTTTGAATTGTTTTCATTTGTTACCGTTCGCGGGCAAAGTTCTTTGCGACTATCAAGCTGCTTTATAGTTGCAGCCAAAATTGCGACTCCATCTGTTGCATTCGTACCCTTACCAAACTCATCTATAAGGAGGAGCGACCGAGTTGTACTGCATCTGATCATGACAGCAATCTTTCAAAGTGATGTCAAGCAGCGTTTGCAGCACCATGCAAAACTTTGTTCATACCTGTGACAAGTCTATTGCAAATGTAGACCTTGCCACAGCACAGGTCTCTCGGGTTTGTATTCGTGAGAATATCCTATCAATGAGGCCAATCTACCGCACAAGACGAGTCAATGCCGTATGTGTTGAAAGTCATTTGCAGATCAGGACTGAAAATTGTTCAAAGACTTGCCTGACATGATTTAGCTGGAACCCAACAGCCAATATGTGCCATAAAAGATATCAATGCGACCTGCTTTAAATATATACTTTTTCCGCTGTAGTTTGGCCCACTTATCATTTGTATGCGTGATCCCAATTGATTCTCATGAATTATAGAGTTGTTTGGAATGAAAACATCCGTGCAAAGTTCACACAAAGGATGCCTGCCATCTTCTATGTAGATCACTGGTTCTTGTACAATGCGTGGTTCGCAGTAATTCCTCTCGACAGCAATCATTGCAAATCCAAGTATGCAGTCAAGCGCTGCCGCAACTTTACATGTATCAACAAGCTCATCATCAAATTCCAGTAATTTTTCTCGGACCTGTATATGTCAACTTTCAGCTGAGTGACAAAAGGGCAAATTCAGGGAATACTCGATTAATTATGGCGAACTCTCTGTCACAAATTTTCCCCCAAATATCACCAACATTTTCATCAAGCTCTCGCATTCTTTGAGATTTCCAGTAGACGTATTCTTCAGTCTGAAAATGCATTTCCATCCCCGGAATTGTAACATTTGCAATGTTTGGAGATGCAACCTGAGAGCACATTGAGGGGGTTTCATGATCCAGAATAGGGGAAAAATCTACCAAGTAGCCTAGTTGAGGAAAGAAAACGACAGATATTTTCAACCCTTCCATTGAATCAGGAAGATCGTCAACCTGCAAATGATTAATTCACAGTACTTCATAAATGATTTGTGTTTCAAACCTCCTGCTGCGCAATGTCTTCAAGGAATTGTCCAAGTGAGTCGTAGTTGCGCTTGTCCTGATCGAGCTCCTCGTCCACTCCGCTTGCAACTGAGATTCGCTTTCGAGCTCTACTGTCTTCGAAATCAATCACCTGGTGCTATGAATCATGCTGTTGAAGAAAACGTAGAATCGTGAATGCGCACTTCTGAAATCAAGGCATGAATGTTCGGAAGTGCTGTGCAGAATTGAGCTTGGATCTGCATTTTCATAGCACTTATCAGGATCGATGTCTTCGACGAACGACCACAATGTTAACGCACTTGATCCATGATAGGAGATGTCATCTGCTTTGATGATTTCAAAGCGTTTCTGCAAATCTCGTGAATTGTTGACAGGCTTTTGAGGGAAGTGGTCAAATTTATCCAATCACTCAAGCTGGCGGAAGAATTCCTCATTCGGATCAATATTCTGACATTCAAATAATCATATCTATCTTAGCAAATTGAAGTTTTCTCACCTTGGAACATCCTTCACAAATCTGAGCTGGTCTTGTAAAGCCATCAGCAGCTCTTGATTTTCCTGGCCAGTAAAAAATCGGAGCGAACTTTGCCTTCCTGTGATCTCCTGTTGCTTCAAAATCGGCCTCAGAATCCATGTTCGAAGTAATTTTCTTCCTAGTATTGATCTAGTATTATCCATCAGGTTCAATAGTGATAAACCTTCCTTGGCCCTGCCGTTTATCATGATTGAAGGATGGATGTCGTTGCAAAGAATTTGCAGCGAATGCATGGTCTCTTTGTCAACGTGTAGATAATCTTTGAGCTGCATCATTTTTGCAGAGTAGACAGGGGCTAGCCAAGTTGAACACAATTCATCCACCGCTTTGTGGTTATGCAAGTGAATCAGCAGCGCACCAGCACATGACACAGCTTGCACTGCATCGAGATCGACAACAGTACGCAAGCACGACTCCCTATCATTATCGGAGACACAGTACTTGTAGACATCAAGAGATAGGGCAATAAGTCTTGATTTTCCGTATTCATATTTGAAATCCCTGTCATGATGAGTTCATTGGTTCCTTACCAACTTTTCCTTAAGACGTACCTTTGCGGAGCGATCTTTATGTTGCATGACCATCCTGAACAAGATGATTTTACCACATCCTCCAATCCGGACGATAACTTGGAACAAATCACAACAGACGATGGTCTCCATTGCTCAAGCATGATTATGGTCGACTCAAATTCTTCTGTCTCCAACGTTTGCAATAAGCTGAGTTCCCCACGAGCTTCGTCAAACACTGCTGCTCCAAGGACGGAAGAAACGAAGAACAAGCACATGTGAATTTGATCCACATCTTCGGATTCTCTTTCATGTTCGGTTTTTCCTCCTTCATCCATGCTTTCTCCTTGGTCTTGCTCAGCCCATTGCTGGCCATCGCCTTCCGTATCGCACATGCTGAATTTGCGAAGCCACAAACTTGAATTGGCGGGACGATCCAAAAAAAATATCCTAAACTCATCGCCCTCATACAACTTCGTAGTTATCCGGGCCCGCCCCAGGGACTGAAAGGACCACCCCTGCCTGGCAGAAATCTCTTGCTCTAGACAATTGGGGTGGTGTCAGAAACACCCCCACCCCCTTTTCTAGTAACAATTTCTCTCGGGGAGGTGGGTAGTACGTGTCTCTACCCCCTTTTACAGGGATTTACTCAGGGTAGAGTGAGTACCCTACCCTGTAATCCGTGATCCCATGGCACCCGAGATGGGGTGGGGCCCCCGCTTTATACGCCTAAACGAACAATGCTCAGAAGACACTAACTTGCTCGCTCCTTGCTCCCTTGCTCCCTTGCTCCCTCCCCCCCTCCCCCCCTCCCCCTCCTCCCTCCTCCATATCAGACATTCTTTCAGTCTTTCCTTTTGTGCATCTCTTGTCTCTTTACCTTTCCTGCGCATGACTCGGGTTGTTCCTATAAACTTCGTGTAGGCTCCTGCGACACCAGTTTTGTTCTCCCACAAATGACATTACTTGATTGACACCAAACTTCACATGTTCCTGTTTTTGTTTGTTGATTGCTTCTCCCTCCAACCTTTCATCGAGAGAAACCTGATGGATGCAGTACTTTGTCCTTGCCCTGTTTTCTGGATCCCTGCCCGAGCTGCATGTATTTTTGATTGAACCAATTTCATGCAGGGAAAAGATGGTAGATCGCTATGGAGGAGGGCAGCGATGGACCTCAGTCGCTCGGGGGGGATGGATCATTCTAGCTGCGGTCACTTTGTTGTCGCAGAATGCTTACTCTTGGTCTTTCCCTGCAAGTTTGAGGTCTGCACCGTTTGCCAGGGGTTCCGACATGAGGACGAGTCTCACACTGCGAACCAACATGGCTAAGCACAGAGGACCACTCAAGATGTGTGAACGCTCTCAGCTTCAAGAGATTGCTGAAGCTCCCACACACAAAGGGGCATCTTCGGAAACGGGGCCAAAGAGGAAATTTTGGGACCCGACGTATGCTGGGGAGGAGAAGTTTCGGGTGGTCTTGATAGCAGGGTTCGAGACTTTCAACAGGCAGCTGTACCGCATGGCCGCGGAGAAGGCGGTGGCGCGATGCCCTGGACTTGAGATCTGGGTTTTCACAGACCAGGACCTTCAGTCACAGCAGCCGCTCGTTGAACAAGCGGTCGATGAAGCGAATGTTGTGTTTGCGAGCCTGATCTTCGACTTCGAGCAAGTGAACTGGTTGAGAGAAAGGATCCTCCGCGTGCCCGTGAGGTTCGTCTTCGAGAGCTCGCTCGAGCTCATGTCATCGACGAAAGTCGGCTCGTTCAGCATGGCCTCCCAGCCGGGCAAGAAACAGGGGATGCCTCCTGCGGTGAAGTCGCTGCTGTCAAAGTTCAGCAGCACCAGGGAGGAGGACAGGCTGGACGGCTACACCAAGTTCTTGAAGTCCGGGCCGGCTCTGCTCAAGTTCATTCCCGGAGAGAAGGCCAAAGATCTGAGGAGGTGGCTGCAGACTTATTCGTACTGGAACGCTGGAGGGGTTGACAATGTTGCCAACATGTTTTGCTCCCTCGCATCTGAGTTTGGAGGGCTGTCCCCAGCGCAGCAGGAGGGGGAGGGGGAGGTGGAGAAGGACCTCTGGTCGAAGTTCCTCCTGTTCATCCAGTCGCTCTTCAGATTCCAGGGCGAGGAGGAAAGAAGTCAGCCGGGCAGCCCGGCTGCCGAGGTCATTGAAGCTCCGCAGAGGGGGCTGGTGCATCCTGCAAGACCGGGGTATTACTTCAAGACGCCCAGGGAGTATCTTGACTGGTACCGGGCTAAGTTCCCTGGCAGGGAGTCCTGGCCAGTAGCAGGAATCCTGCTGTATCGGAAGCATGTTATTTCGGCTCTTCCCTACATCGATGAGCTTGTTACTCACATGGAGACTAAGGAAATCCTCCCCCTCCCCTTGTTCATCACCGGGGTGGACGGGCACATAGCAGTTCGGGACTTCTTGACCTCCCCGCACGAGCAAGAGCAGCTCCGGGCCGGCACGATCCCGGTGAACCCAACCCTGTCCCCCGATGCGGTTAATGTCGATGCTGTTATTTCCACCATCGGCTTCCCGCTCGTCGGCGGGCCGGCAGGGTCGATGGAGGGGGCGAGGCAGGCGGAGATAGCAAAGGAAATCCTTCAAGCCAAGAACGTCCCCTACTTCGTCGCGGCGCCCCTGCTGATACAGGACGTCAAGTCGTGGTTCGGCCAGGGCATCGGAGGGCTGCAGTCAGTAGTGCTGTACAGCCTGCCGGAGCTCGATGGGGCGATAGACACGATCCCGCTAGGCGGGCTGTGCTGTGGGGACAAGGAGTTCTGTAACTCGTACCGCGACCTTCGAGGCTGCAAGCGGGAGAGCGGTGAGATCCGTCTGGTGGAGGAGAGACTGGACAGGCTGTCGACGAGGATCAAGAGATGGGTAAGTTTGCGGTCGACCCCCAAGTCAGAGCGACGCGTAGCAGTAGTGCTCTATGGTTACCCTCCAGGGATCGGGGCTACTGGGACGGCGGCCCTGCTCAACGTGCCGACCTCCCTGCACAAGCTGCTGTCCAAGATGAAGGAGGAGGGCTACGATGTCGGCGAGCTCCCCGAGGATCCAGAGGAACTTCTGCAGATGGTGAAGGTGGCGGACGACGAGTCGGACTCCGGACGAGGATACGCCAACGCCCAGTACGCCCAGCGAGGAGGAGCGACCGTCTCCACTGACCAGCTGGAGACCTGGTTGGGGTCCTCCGATACTCAGCGAGTCTCGAAGAACTGGGGAGGGTCGCTGGACCGGTCAGGGATCAGGACGGTAGGAAGCGGAGAGAGGGCGCAGATGCTGCTGGGGGGGGTCCTCTTCGGCAAGGTGTGGGTAGCCGTCCAGCCTCCTCTCGGCCTGCCCGGGGACCCGATGCGCCTGCTCTTCGAGCGGGATATGACCCCCCATCCCCAGTACTCCGCATTCTACAAGTTCCTGGAGAGGAAGGAGGAGGACAACGGGTTCGGGGCCAACGTTGTGGTTCACTTCGGAATGCACGGGACAGAGGAGTGGCTGCCCGGCACGTCGCTGGGGAACACGGGCGAGTGCTGGCCGGACATTCTGACAGGCTCCCTTCCCAACGTGTACGTGTACGCTGCCAACAATCCCTCCGAGTCGCTGCTGGCTAAGAGGAGGGGGTACGGCACCCTCATCTCGCACAACGTGCCCCCCTACAGCCGCGCTGGGCTCTACAAGGAGCTGCAGACCCTCCGGGGGCTCATCGCTGACTACTTCGAGGGCCTCTCAAGGGAGAGCCGGGGGGCAGGTGGGGAGCAGCTGGAGGACGCAAGCCTGATGCAGCAGTTTGCGGGGTCTTCGGCCCCGACCGTTGACCCCTCCAAGATTGACAAGGTGGAGGGGAGCCCAACGGTGGAGGGGTCGATGCTGCAGACGATGTTCGCAGCAGGGCTCGAGAGCGACTGCCCCCTGCCAGAGGGAGCGATGAAGGTGCTGGAGGAGGCAGGAGGGATCGACGGGGGGGAGGAGGCGGTGGAGCGGTGCGCTGCGTACATGGTGAGGGAGAACATGATGATGGAGTACTGCGAGAGGCTGAAGGCGTACCTTGCTGAGCTCGAGCAGAGGCTCTTCTCGTCAGGTCTGCATGTGCTGGGCGACCCTCCCGTGGAGCAGGCGATGGAAGCGTACTTGCGAGCGTACTTCGAGGACGGATCGTGGGAGGTCACGTCCAAGGAGAGGAGTATGACGGCGGCAGATGAAGTCCCTCGCAGCGAGGAGGAGAAGGAGGAGGACGGTCTCGCTGCTGAAGCTCCCTTCACCTTCCCTGAAGAAGCACTGCAGCTCATCCTCAAGGGAGGCAGCGAGGCCGAAGTGCTCATGAGCAGAGGAGAAGGAGTTCCAAGCCAGGGGACAGCAGCATGGGATCGCTTCCAGGAGGCCGTGCGTCAGGGCTGCTCCATCAGAGACCTCCTCCTTCGCAACACGGAGGAGCTCGAAGGTGTGCTCAAGGCTCTCAACGGAGAGTTCGTTCCCCCTGCTCCAGGAGGTGACCTGCTCCGCGACGGCTCGGGCGTCCTGCCCACAGGTCGGAACATCCATGCGCTCGATCCCTACCGCATCCCCTCGAAGGTTGCCATGGCAAGGGGGAAGGCGGCGGCGGAGCTTTCAATCTCCTTGCACAGGAAGGACAACAACGATGAGTTCCCTGAGACCATTGCGGTGAACCTGTGGGGTCTAGAGGCGATCAAGACTAGGGGAGAGTCAGTCGGGATCGTGCTGGGGCTGGTGGGGGCTGAGCCCGTCGTCGAGGCCACAGGACGAGTCGTGCGGTTCGACCTGATACCCCTGGAGAAGCTCGGGAGGCCTCGGGTGGATGTGCTGACGTCACTGTCGGGGATCTTCAGGTAGGGGAAGAGAGAGGTGCAAGAGGGGAGGAGGAGAAACGGAGCAGAGGAGGAGAGAGGGAGGAGGGAGGAGGGAGGAGAGAGGAGAGAGGAGGGAGGAGAGAGGAGAGAGGAGGGAGGGAGGAGGAGGGAGGAAGGGGAAGGGGGAAGGGAGGAGAAGAGTGTGGGAAAAGAAGGGAGGAGGAAGGAGGAGAGGACGGGAGGAGAGGGAAGGAGGAGGGAGAACAGACTTAACTTGTTCGCAGGGACTCTTTCTCGAATGTTGTTGAGCTCCTCGACGACCTCTTCGAGCGAGCGGCGAAAGCTGACGAACCCGCCGACATGAACTTCATCCGCAAGCACGCGCTCGAGCTCCAGGTCCTGCTCCTGCTCCCCTCTCCCTCCTCCTGCTACCTGCCATGCCTCTTCCTCTCCCCCCGCTGCCTCCTCGTCCTACCCTCAAGTACCCTCACTATCCTCCCTCTCCCTCTTCCCCTCCTCCACGTCCCCCCTCTGTTCACTCCCTCCTCTTGCAGCTCGTCCTGACTGGAGCGCAAACTTACAGGCAGCTGGGGAGACGGTGGAGGCGAGCACAGCAAGAATCTTCTCGAACCCACCCGGAGAGTTCGGGTCCCTAGTCAACGAGCGAGTGACGGACGGGAACTGGGAGGACGAGGCTGACCTGGGCGAGACCTGGGCCAAGAGGAACGCGTTCTCGTTTGGGAGGAGTGGGAGAGGAGTCGAGCGCCGCTCAACCTTGAACAAGTTGATGTCAACCACGGGCCAGGTCAGCCTCCTCCTTTTTTCCTCCTCCCTTCCTCCCTGCCTCCCTCTGCTCGTTCCTCCTTCATCTCTTCTCCCCTGTCCCACTCCACTCCCCATCCCTCCCCATCCCTCCTCGTCCCTTCCTCCTTTCTCCTTCTCCCCTCCTCGCTCCCCTCGTTCCATTGTCCCAACTCCATCTTATCGTTCTCGCTTGTGACGTTGGACTGCAGGTCGTTCAGTGCGTCGACTCGGTCGAGTATGGCTTGACCGACATCCAAGAGTACTACGCCAATACAGGAGCGATGGTACGCCTTTTCCTCCCCTCCTCCCCTCCTCCCCTCCTCCCCTCCTCCCCTTCCTCCCCTTCCTCCCCTCCTCCCCTTCCTCCCCTCCTCCCCTTCCTCCCCTCCTCCCCTCCTCCCCTCCCCTTCTTCCTCCTCTTCTCCTCCCCATAATCTTTGAACCACTCCGTTTGCTCCACCTTCACTCTCCCACCTACGTCTCCCTTCGCTCTCTCCTCCTCCTGCCAACCCCCCCGCTCCTCCTTCCCTCTCCCTCACGGCTAGCGAGCAGGTCCGAGCCATGGACGACCTGCAAGGAGGAAAGGGGAAGGTGCAGGCATCGGTAGTCGAGAGCTACTCCAAGGTCCCCCGTCCGAAGAGGATCAACGAGGTTCTCAGGCTCGAGTACCGCTCAAAACTTCTCAACCCCAAGTGGGCGAACTCTATGGTGAGGCTCCCATGTTTCCTCCTCCTCCACTCCTCCGCTCCCCTCCTCCTACCTCGTCGATCCTGCTGTTCACCTCACTACCCCAAACATCCTCGTCATCCCTTCATCCCGACCTCTATCTCGCCCCTCCCGACCTCCAGTTCTTTCTCCCCCCTTCTCCGTCCTCCTCCTCCTCCTCCTCCTCCTTTCACTCTCCTCCAGGTCGATCAGGGTTCTGGAGGAGCGTTCGAGGTATCGCAGAGGATGACTGCCATGATTGGCTGGGGAGCGACTACCAAGTTCAAGGAGCCGTGGGTCTTCGACCAGTCCGCTGCCACCTACGCCCTCGACCCTGTCATGGCGCAGAAGCTGCGGGACAGCAACCCTGAGGCCTTCAAGAACATCGTCGGTCGCTTGCTTGAAGCCAACAACAGGTGCTGCCCACTAACCAACTTCTCTCCCCGTCCCTCCCTCCCTCGGCCTTCGCCTTCCCCCTTCCCCTCGTTTTTGCCCTTGCCCCCGTCCGCTCTCTGCTGTCGTATCGCGTGCCGCTTGCCTCCTTATCCGTTTTCTTCTTCCTCTCCTGCTCCTTTCTCCCTCCCTTCTCCCCCCTCCCTCTCCCTCTCTCCCTCCTTCCCTCCCTCCTCCTCCCTTCTTCCCCCTCCCCTCTTCTTGATCTCATCCTTCCTTGCCAGGGGTATGTGGGAGGCGAAGCCCGACGTGCTGCAGCAGCTGCAGGAGATCTACGAGGACATCGACGACGCCATCGAGCTCGGCACGGCTGCCCAGCGCCTGTCCGACATCACCATGCAGCAGAAGGAGAAGAGATGAGCGCAGCTGTATGTGTAGATCCTTGTTTTTATAGTTCCATCCTTATGCTATCATGACTGAGGTATCCTGGGTCACGGTCGATGCCCGAGGCCGCCTGACTCGGTGAGAAGCCTCATGAGCCTTCAATGCCGGGAGACTCTCAGCAGAAGCCTCCCACACGGCCCGTCTACACGCCCGGGCCCGGCCAGCCCGGCCGCCCTCCGATCAGCCTGGCAGTGATCTCCCGCTGTCCAATGACGATTGATAGATTTGAGGCGGGCTTGCAGTTCTTGGTGCCGCCATGCCGGGACGGTGAAGGTGGTAGTGATGAGAGGAGAGAAGAAGAGCGACTGGACGCTGAGGCAGGGGTAGAGGAAGAGAGAAGAAGAGGAGGTGAAAGATGGGGAGAGAGTAGATATAATACAAGGATCATCCCTTATACTGGACCTTTAGTTGCAATGTTTGCGACATTCACGTATTGAATCATCCTGTAGCCATGGCGTTCTTTGATCAGCCGGAAATCTGAATCCTATGTTGATTGATGATGACGGAAGATATCTTCGTCATGAACAAGACTGAACTCCTCTGATTTTGCAGGACCACCTCCAGCCGCGGAAGGAAAGAGAAGACAGAGGAAAGGAGGGGAGAGGAGAACAGGGCAGAGAAGAGGAGAGGAAAACGACGAGGCTACCAGCAACATGTCGGAGGAGCTCAAGGGCAACGAGCAGTTCAGCCTGCATGGAGAGATCAACAAGGGGATCAGGACAAAGGCCATCTTCGACGCTGTGGACAAAATAAGGCAATCACAGCTGATGGTGTTCGAGCAGCACATGAAGATGGAGATCCAACCAGGGCCAGACGTAGACTTTGGGTTCATGGATGGATCAGTTGACGTCACTGCCGTTGAAAAGATGAAGTCGCTGAGCGAGTGGTTCCATGAGAAGGAGACTAAGATCAGCGAGCTTGCCAAGCACGTGGATCGTATAGGGAGCGAGGTTTCCAATCTCAACTCAGTGTTCTCAGCGGAGATATCGAAGGAGTCCCACAGTACAGACGCACAGTAGACGGAAGAAGACAACATGTAGCAGTAGCACATTTTTCCATGATTATGATTATGATTATGATGGTGGTGGTGATGATGATGATGGGGATAGAAATAATGGACACCCTGATGTGAAAGCTCAAGCTTTTGTTTCTTGTTTACAGTGCAGCTCTCCTGTCACCAGCTTTTCCATAGTACACGACCGTTCGCTTCGTCACGACCTGGCCGAACTGATTCTTCGCCATCAGAACTTGTTCGAGCTCAAAGCATCCAAGCGTGGCAAGCATGGACTCCACCGGCGCTTTCTGAAGGGGGGCAGTGGTGAGGACGGGCGAGTGAAGGGCAATTCACGATCGCTCACCTCGAAGGCAATGTTGTAGATGCTCTTGAAGAGGGGATACTGATCTACGATCCCTTCCCTCTGAAGAATCTGCATCACCTCCTTTATAGTCAAAGTCCCCTGCAGCTTCTGGCCGTTGAGAAGCTCGCGCTCCAACTCCTCGAACGACTTGTGGCTGGCAGTCAGCAGCCAGAACAGTAGCGCCTCCCGCCCGACTTACCTTCCTTCCTCCAGCCTTAACGAACGCCTCAGCACACCTCCTGTTCCTGCCTCCGTAGCACGTCACGATGAGATCGGCGACCCCGCACGACTCAAAGAAGGTTGCATCCTTCACGCTGGGGTAGCGAGACTGGATGAACTTCTTCATCTCCATGAGGCCGATGCGGATGATCGCGGCCTTGCTATTGTCACCTAGTCCCATCCCATCCGTGAAGCCAGCACCCAGCGCTACAATCTTGCATAGAGGACGCGATCAGCATGGCATCACAACACAAGCACAACCACTCACATTCTTCAAGGCACCGCAGATCTCAACTCCCGGGACGTCGTTGATGATGGTGACATGGAACAGAGGATCGTTGAAGATCGTGTGCAGCAGCTTGCCGTTCTCTTCCACATTGTACCCAATGGTGGTCTCGCAGAAGGCTCCTCCTGCCACCTCCTTTGCGAGGTTTGCTCCCATGAGCACGCTTACATCCATTCCATTCAGCCCCTCCTTGATCATGTCCGAGATCAGCACCATCCCCTTCGAGTCAAAGTGCACTCCCTTGATCAAGGATACGGCGATGCAATCTTGCGCATGGTTTCCCTTGATCTTCTTGCAGAGCCCACCAAGGAACTGGTGCGGGAGGACGAAGATAAGGACGTTGGCCCCCCGCGTCGCGCTCACTACGTCGGGGTCGGCTATGACGTTGGTGGGAAGCTTCACTCCAGGCATGTACTTGACGTTTTCATGTTCCTCGTTGATGATGTCCGTGAGCTTCCTCCCCTTCACCATCTCCTCGAAGACCCACATGCGGACCTCGTCCTCTAGGTGGGGGTGGTGGGTGCAGTTGTTACCCACGATCTTTGCGATCGCGCAACCCCAGTTCCCTGATCCTACGATGGCCACACGCTTCTTCATTGCTCCTCAGGACACGTTGCCTCTGGCTGAAAAACATGCGTTATTTCACAGAACTTTGAACTCTTGTCCTTGCAGCCCCTGATCTATTAAAACGTCCTGAAGGATTTGTCATGATGCCTCGGTTCTTGATGTATGGTGTATCTTTCGAACATGGTTCTCTACAGTCTATCTCAATCACTGTATACAGTCTATCTCAATCACTGTTATCCTCCCTTGTCTGTGACGAAATCTCTCATTGTGATCGATGGAACAATACAGTAACACTTGCTGATATGAATCAATCTCATCTCGATCTCACTATCGCTGACTCCATGATAAGTATCTGTGAAACCTGATCTGCTGCAGCTAATTGCAGTCATATGCTGTTTCCTCTCGTCTCTGATGCTGATCTTCTCTTCTTGCACTCCCGCATCTCGTCTCCTACATGATCCCCGGCTTGCATTAGGGGCACGAGATGCAGGCTTGCACCGGTGCTACCGATAGGGGTCATTCAGAAATTCACAATCTTCAACATAATCAGGTTTTTGGATTAAATAGACAACTAATATTTCAAATATCAAGGTAAAATGTTCAAATTTTACAATTGAATGTCACCCCACCCTGGTTTTGAAGGCACTTTCCAAGGGGTCGCTAAACTCAATCTCTCTACACCCCGTCATTTGTGGAGTGATCACGGGGTGGGGTGCAATTGATCGGGGGTTAGGGGTCACTGGGGTCATTTACACCTTGTAAGTAGGGGTACAACTGAGGAAATTTGTACCCTCTTAGCAGGGGTGGTAGGGTTACTGGTGGTACCCACCACCGTTATTGGCCCGGCGGCCGCATCGTAGAACTTTGAAACTTTGACATGCAGTTAAAACTTTTGAAAGTTTTATCACGCAAGTTGAAAACTTTTGATACATCGGACTACTCTCACAGTTGACAAGCCTCGCAGCGTGAAAATATTGACAAGACCTGAAACTGAACCTCATAAATTCAAATTTGAATGGGAGTCTCAAAGTCCCAAATTGAATGCGATGAAGCTTGACCGGTAAAGGACTGACCGGGATGGGAGAGGGAGGACCAGGAGCAGAGGGGAAGAGAAGAAAGACAAGAGAAAGAGAAGAAGCTTGTTTGAAAGATAATGATCATAATCTGAGCGGAGACATGTTACCTGAGGTACTTGAAGATCACGCTGAAACCGCAGCGGGTCATGTAAGGCAGAAACCGTTTAGGGGTATACACGGACAATCGGACCTGACTGAACTTGAGGTGCAGATAACCCTGCACCCATGAATCGTAGACCCTTGGCCTCAGACAACGCCAAGGACTTCTCTTGGGCAGGGGGAAGCTGCGTGTCTGAAAGTGCCCTGCTTCTCCCTTCGGAGGTGATAACACACGGTGATTCTTCACGTTTGATAATCATGGGCGCAACGATGAAGGTGAAGAGGAAACAAGCTATGAAAGCACATCCAGATGTCCAGAAAGTCGAAGCGGCTCAACTTCACGCCTTGCACGCGGTAGCTTCCTGCGCGAACATTCACCATGTCTGACATGACGCGGAAGGAACTGGAGGTGTACCGGTCGCAGGCTGATGTACTGCAGTATCAGCAGCGGAATGCAGAAGTTCTTGCAGGAGGTGAAGTCCCTGCTTGCATGCCTCTCCAGTGAGGTGATATGCTCGGCAGACATCTCAAAGGAGGCGAACCTTGCCCTGCAAGAGCTAGGTCGTGAGATCCTGCACTTGTCGTCGACATTGGACCAAGTTGTCGGTGAGGACCGGGGAGTATCTGAAGTAAGATGATTCAAAGTGCGCGGAAGAGAGCATGACATGTGCTGTAAGATCGGCAAAGATGAGATGCATTACCTTCGGGAGGAGATCAGACAACTGAAGGAACGGCGTTTGTGGGTTGCTGCAGTTGCTGGGAGTGAGAAGCTTTTGGCAGGTTGAGAATGATGACATGGCGCAAGAGATCAACAGGCTGGAAGATCTTAACTTCCTCGCCGAGACGTCTCTGCTGAAGGTGTTGGCGTGCAGGGAACCTGCGGAAGCACATTGAGACTTTGTCCAGTACACGAGTGAACTTGAGGATTCGAGGAGAATGCTGGATGAGGCGGTATCGAGGGTGGTTGAGCTCGAAGACGCCCTTAAGAAATTTGAGGTAGAGCATCATCGTTGCATTCATCGCAATCTTCCCCCCGATTTGTGGTTCCTCTGAAGAATAGGAACAGGACAGCAAAATGTACCATGAGACCAAGACGATACAAGCTCAAGAAAGTGAATGAGCCTTCACCATCTCTTTCAGTGTTTTACTGTGTTGTGATGTAACCCAGGCAATGTCGTCATGGAAGAAAACAACAAGATGTAGCTGTCTACAGGTTTTGAACCGCGCAAGCTGAGGTTTGACGCAGGGGGAACATGGATTCTCCGTCAAGGAATAGCGTTGAGGTGTGATCGGATTCATGTTTTGCATGTCTGTTGTCATGCAAAGACAATTTGCAGATGGATGGAGAAGACGACAAGAAGAAAATCATCCGCCTGGTTGCAAGTATACAAAATCTGCAGGAAGTTCAGGCGGTAAGAGTGGAGTTGGGGGGAGCAGGATGGGAAGAGTTGTGAAGTTTCATACAGAGAGTGGAGTTAGACTGTGTCGATCTTTGCGATCAAATGAATGAGATCAACGAAATCTTGAAGGTCGTTGACCTTGAAGCTCTTCCTCTACCCTTCCGACTTACCTCCATTTCTTGTTCAGATGTTCGAGACATGGAAGCTTGAGAACATGTTGATGTTTCGCTATGATCTCATATCGTCGTTCTGAGATGTTTGTACACAGGTCTGTGGGCATGTCGTGCATGCCGGATCATGATGAAAATGTTGGTTGCACATGCTCAACTGGGGTAGACGTGAACTGTCTGCTGCAGGGATGCTGCTGCAAAGAATGCAGAGACAAGTCAAGGGAGTTCCTTGGCCAAGTATGTTTTCCTCTGCCTCCCTCTTCTCCTTGCTGACATCTCATCAAGATGGAAAAGTTGCAGAAGAGCAATCTGTCATGCCAAGTGAGCAAACTCCCTTGCCCTCAGCGCTCTCCTCAGCGCAACCTGATCGCTGCCAACCTGATCGCTGCCAACGCGCAGGAGCACATCGTCTCTCTCAACAAGGAGTTGACGGAAGTGGTAAGGCCTCGAGAAACCCATAGGTTGTCGGGAGTTGTGAGGGAGAGAGCAGGAGAAGGAGCGCGATCAGCTCATATCGCAGCTTGAGCTCTGCCAGGAGGAGATAGCTGCTGAGATCGACAAACACCTGGCGGACCTGCAAGAAGCAGCGGTAGAACATTCACATCCCCATGCGGTGCTTAAGTCCCCTGACGCTGTTGCAGGAGAGGCTGGCGCAGAGCCAGAGGAGGGAGAGGTTCTTCTGCGAGCAGATCGACGGGCTGAACAGCGAGATGGGAATGATGCTCGAGGAGGTGAAGGCGATCCGAGAGGATGCCAAGGCGAACAGCATGTTGACTCAGGTGGAGGAGGAACATGGGGGAGCATGCTTCTAGTTGACCCGGCTACAGGCACCTCCGGAGGATGGGAGCAGGGAGCGTTTCCTTCAGGAGCTAGAGCAAATGACAAGCGTGTTCGAGGGAGAGCTGGAGGAGTTACATTTGAAGCTGGTGAAAAGCAAGGAAAGCTGGAGCAAGGAGCACATCGCTCAGGTGAATGCTCGAGTGGCAAGAGCTTGTTTCTTCCAATGACTGTCGGTCCTTGCTTTCTCCGCAGATCGGCAGACTGTCTTTCTTTGAAACCGTGGAATCGAAACTGTCCCTGGTGTTGAATGTGAGTGCAAAATCATCATTTTTTCCTCCTCCCCCTTCGCATCTGCTCATCGTTTCCTTATCAGAGGTTCTCAAGCAACAAGTCTCCTCTCCAATCATCATCGAAACAGCTTGTAAAACATCCGGGGTTTTGTCTTCTTCATGACATTTTTGGTCCAGATGTCGTCGGGCCAAGGTACCACAAACTTGTCGGGCCCATCATTACCATCTCATCTCCCGCAACAAGATTCGGAAGATCTGAAGATGATGATGGAGGATCTAAAAGCAGCGCTGGAGGAGATGAGGTCGCGCGACATACAGGATGTGAGAAAACGCTTGCTCCTCCTCCTGCTCCTGCTCCTCCTGCTCCTCCTCCCGCTGCTATTCCTCCTTTCCTCCTCCTCCTCCCGCTGCTATTCCTCCTCTCTAGCTCCTGCTCCTCCTCTCTCCTCCTTCTCTTTCTCCTGCTCCTGCTCCTGCTTCTGCTTCTGCTCCTGCTCCTGCTCCTGCTCCTCTTTTGTTTCTTCTCCTCGGCATCCTCGGCACCTTTATCCTCGTCCTCCTTCATGCGTTCACCTTGTTGTAGGATGACAACTCTGTCTATGTCGCCCACGTCAAGAAGATCCGCCAGCAGGCAAGAGAAACAAGAGCGAAGTTTGAACAGGGGAAGTGAAAGGATGGTGATAGATCGATGACTTGGTTGTTGCGTATGAGAGCGGAGTCTTCAACCGCAAGGTAAGCGTCATCGTATCTCCAGACTCTTGGTAATCGTCAAACTTCAGTTGAGTATCAACAACACGTCTGCTTCTGAAGGTCTTTTAAACGTGACTCGACGTTGAATGCTGATAAGATTCTGCCGCCTTACTCGGTCAGATTTTCTGTACAACGTGAGTGTGATGGAGCAACTCCTGTACTTCCTGTTGACCTGACTTGATCCGTTCAGAGCACCAGCGTCGATGGGGATGAGCTGCGTTGGCAGGAGCATGTCAACAGAGTTGCAGAGGAGGAGCTGAGAGCAGAGCTGCTGAAAGTGAGCACGACAAAAACTTCTTTCCCCTTCCTTCAACTCCTCATTGTTGTTGTAATACGATCGAGCTGCTGGCTTCATTCTTTTCAAAGGTCCTCGGGCCGTCTGAACTTGCTGATCACAGGTTGGGCTCGTTACCGCAAGGCTGAAGACTCAGCAGGCAGTGAAAGAAAACCTGCACAACTATCAGGTGACAGAGATAAAGACGTTGATGACTTTCCTTCTTGCTCGTCATGCTGATTTCAACATGTTGTTCTTCAGATGTCGGAGATGTCCAGCCAGATCTCCAAGCTGCAACAAGACAATCAGATGCTGCAAGAGACGATCCTCAACAAGGAAGACGCTCTGCGTGGAAAAGTCTGCAGCCATTGCGAGGTTTGGACATCACGACTGATTGTGAAGGTTTTCAGGACGACATCATCGAGATGCTGAAAGAGAACAAACGATCTCTTCTGCTTGACCTTCACGCTCTTGAGGTAAGCATCATCATCAGCCTCCTCCTCGTCTTCATCGTCTCGTCATGATTATCATTCTCGCTTTGCTTACACGATTTCTACTTCAGCGCTTGACGAAGCAATCGGAAGAAGAAGTCTCAATGTTGAGAAGACATGTTGCTGTTTCGATGTCAACGAGAGAAAACCAACGTGATGGTTTTCACTGTCTTTCTCGTTACCTTGACTAGCTGTTTCAGAGTCTGAAGGAAATCTTGATGAATCCAGCATTCTGTTGTCAACGAGCATGAGGGAAGGAAATGAGGAAAGAGAAAGTTCTTGTCTCCTTTTCCAACGATATTCATCCCCCCCTCTGCTCCCCTCTTACCTCTCTCCTGAATCTCTTCTCCATTATCTCTCTTCTCCCACCAATCTCCTCTTCTCTGACTCTGCTGCTCTTCCTCTCTCTCATTCTCTTCTTCCTCTTCCCCTCTCTCACTCTCCTCCTCCCCTCCTTTTCTTGTCAAACTCCTCTTGTCCTGTTTCTTCACTGTCGATCTCACATCAGCACATCAGAAGTCAGAACAACAAAAGTCTCAATCGTTTGCGTCAAAGGAGAACATGTCTTCTAACAGACACGTCGAGCCCTTTCACGGTCTTCACCTACAAGTACCCTCCTTATCTTCTTCAATCAGCAGCGCTCCCGTCGACAGACCCCCGCAAAGGTTGACCCCTCCCTCGCTACCTCCCTCCCTCCTCTC